CTTATGGCTCTACCTTTTGTTTCTCCTGCTCCCTGGGGGAGAAGGGGTTTGGATGTGGTTGCTGAAATACTGAGTCCGCTTCTGTGCTCATGCAGGAAATCGTATCCTAACGCTTGGGGAGGTCCCAAAGGATCAAGTCTATGCCTTGAAGCTCAAGGGGATTTCCATCTGCTTCTCTATGCTGAAGGCTGCACTGAGCGGGAGCTACGTCAACTTTGGGGTCTTCCGGCTGTACGGGGATGATGCACTGGACAATGCCTTGCAAACCTTTATCAAGCTTCTGCTTTCCATCCCTCACAGTGACCTCCTGGTAAGCTGAACCCATGACAGCAGGGGAAGGCAGGCTTGGAAGATTACACACCAAAGGAATACTTTAATCAGAGAGAGGAGTGAACTCGTGCTGCTGTGCGGAAGCACAGCTCTAGGCAGGGGCCAGGAGGAACCTGCAGCTCCTGGATGCGCAGCAGCAGGTCCTGTGTGAAGGCTGCAATACCCCCATCAGCCAAGGCCCCCCGGGCAGCCCTGCTGCTGCTCAGCTCTCCAGCTTGGTGCACTCCAAGGCTCAGCACAGCAATTAGCAGAAGAATTCCTCCTCCATGTGTAAAACACTTCCTGTGAGGGAGGGATTGTTCTTCCCTGTGTTGCCTGTGGGCAGAGATCTGGATGCCTCAGCAATTAAGACATAACCTGCTTGCTGATGACATCCACCTACAGTCTTGCTCTGATCCACACCTCATATACAGAAACCCATTTTGCCCCAGAGCTTGGAGGCCCCATCAGCACAGTTCTACTTGGCAAAACATTGAGGAGAGAGGGCAGCAGATACTCCTCCCAAGCCTTATCCTTCCCTATTACCTTAGCAGGATCCAAAAGGAGTTGTTGCCGTCTCTCAGACTACATTTGGCACACTCTTGATTTCATACGCCAGTGGCCAAACCATTGCCCTTGAGATATGTACCTCTGAAGATGGGGCTCTCTGGTGTGGGGGCTGCTGAGGGGTCCGTGGCCCTGCTGCTGAGCACAGCACCCTGCATGTGGATTCTGGTGTGAGCTGGCACTCTGCTTGGATATGTGGGGAGCCAGGCCTATCTCTGCATCTCCAGCACTGGCATGTACTCACTTACACTCCCTGTTTAGAAACAGAGCAGTGGGGAGAGATGTTTCGATAGAACAGTGTTAGGAACCTGCTGGACCGTGGTTGAGCCTGTTTGAAAGGCTTTTAGTGGTGGAGAAGGGTGGAAAACATGTTGGCCCAGAAGTTCTGCTGTGAGAGAGGTTGGTTTGTTCTCTTTCCAGGAGATGCAGTAAGCAGTTCTCAGATGATTAATGAATGGGTTGGGTCTAGCAGAACACCTTAACTGGTGGTTACAGGCTAGCCATGAGGGCTTAAAAGTCTTTTTCTCTCCCTTTCTCTGCAGGATTATCCCAAGCTCAGCCAGTCATACTATTCCTTGCTGGAAGTTCTTACCCAGGACCACATGAACTTTATAGCCAGTCTGGAGCCCCATGTAATCATGTACATTCTCTCTTCCATTTCAGAAGGTCTCACTGCACTAGGTAACTACTTCTGCTCTTTGTGGTGCTCTTAGGGCTTTGATTTGGAGGTGGGGAAATGCTTTGAATGCATTTCGTATATCTGCTAGCATTTTGGGCTAACAGGTAGGTCAAGACATACCTTGTGAATGGGTGGCGGGGTGTCACCTCTGTTAAAGCTGGAATATTACAGATGATTAATATCGTAGAAGCACAGACTGGTTTGTGTTGGAGGGGACCCTAAAGCTCATCCAGTTCCAACCCCCTGCCACAGGCAGGGACACCTTCCACTAGGAGAATATCAGCGAGGAATATATAGATACATCAGAAGATGCAGCAGTGAGGAAGTTGCTGACCTCTGTAGGGTTAGATTCCTGCAAAGTCCCTAGAAGGACCCAGATGAGTGGTGATGTTTCCCTGGGAGCCTGCCCAGTGCATCTGAGCAAGGGAAAATGCTGGCAGTGCCCCAGTCCCTCCCTGTTTTCCTGTTCTTGCAGACACCATGGTTTGCACAGGCTGCTGCTCCTGTTTGGACCACATTGTCACCTATCTCTTCAAGCAACTCTCTCGCAGCACCAAGAAGAGGAGCACTCCTCTGACCCAGGAGAGCGACCGCTTCCTGCACATCATGCAGCAGCACCCGGAGATGATTCAGCAGGTAAGGCCTGGTTGGTGTTGGGCCTTGTCGTGGCACGGCACAGGAAGGTCCTTGAGAAGCCGTGAGTTGTCTTGACATGATGTAATGTGGGGGCTGCGTGACCCCTGGGCTTTTCTGGAGCAGAAAGGTGTTACTTTGCTAGTATTGCATCTTTCCTATGTATTCATCTTCTGGTAGGTCTGATTCAGTGCCATGCTTCAGGGCTGTGCTTCTGCCTGTGCAAGGAACACCATTTTTCCATTTCAGATGTAAAAGGAAGTAGCCAAAAAGGAGCTTTTGCCTGTTTTCTTAAGAGAAACACAGCTACAGAAAGTGTTGGTGGTTGATAGGAATGAAGCTGTGGAACATACCTTCAACCAGAGAGCACGTGCTCTTCCACTGCTTTAACAAATAGGAAGCAGGGTTTGTTTGAATCCCTGGAACAGCCCAGTGGTGCCTGTGCACTCACAGCAAAGCAGGCACCAGGGGGTCCCTGTGCTTGACAAGGTTGGAACGGACCTTAAAGTTCATTTGGCTGGATTGGAGGAAGCTCCCCAGGGCACCAGAGCATTTGCTTTCTGCATTTGTCTTGTTGAAGTGAAGATGAGACAATCTTCCCCTGGAATAAATAGCCTGCCAGCCTTCAGCACCTCCTCCGTGTGCTTTCAGTGAAGGTCTGCTCCTTTTCATGGGGGTTCCAGGTCCTCAGTGCTGGGAGCATCAAAGGCGGATCGTTGCTGCTGAGCTGCACAGTGCCGTGGTGAGGGAAGCAGGGGTGGAAGGGCTGGATTAAAACCTCACTTTTCCTTCTTCCAGATGCTGTCAACAGTGCTGAACATCATTATCTTTGAGGACTGCAGGAACCAGTGGTCAATGTCACGGCCTCTGCTTGGCTTGATACTGCTCAATGAGAAGGTAAAACATCCCACCAGGCTCCCAGTGTGGCTGGAGGAGCTGTGAGGGCTTGGATTAGGCTGGAGGGAGCAGAACCATGTCAGAGAGGTGCTGGGCCAGTCGGATTGTGTGTCGAGGGCAGGGTGTCCAGCCCTCCCTGCAGCAGCCTCGGCACTGAGGAATCCTGGTAACTTTCATAAGGGCCCCAGGAGTCACCTGAGGAGCTGTAACACGTTTCCTCCCTCCTCCTAAGAGCCTGAAAACATGCTCTGTCCCAAAGCCAAGGTGGCTGTTGGTTCATCTGAGAATTAACCCATCCTGCTCTTGTCTTGCCCAGTATTTCTCCGACTTGAGGAACAGCATAGTGAACAGCCAGCCCCCGGAGAAGCAGCAGGCGATGCACCTCTGCTTTGAGAACCTCATGGAGGGCATCGAACGCAACCTCCTGACCAAGAACAGGGACAGGTCAGTAGGAGCCAGAGCTCCTCGTGGGGAGCAGCACACCCGAGGCTCCGCTCTGACACACTGCTCTCTGCCTCTGCCTTAGGTTCACACAAAACCTGTCGGCATTCAGGCGGGAGGTGAACGACTCCATGAAGAACTCCACCTACGGCGTCAACAGCAACGACATGATGAGCTGACGTCTCCTAGGCCCACCTGTACAGAGCAGCATCTCTTTGGCCTGGCCCAGAGGGGTAACCATTTCCGATGGAAAGAAAAGAGGGTGTTTCTAAATCCCTGCTCTTCCCCCAGGGCTGGATTGCGGCCCACCCGTACTCCACATCCCACGGGAGGAGGGAACAGGAGGGGTTGTTGAGCTCACCAGGGCAGGGTGCTTCTGTTTCCATGGGAAGGGGGTGGAAGGGCATAAAGCCAAGTGCAAGAATCCAACGTCTCCCTACCCGAATGTCTGCGTGGAACGCCAGCGCTCTGCTGCAGTCTGCCTTGTATAAAACATGTACATTTTTTCATAACATTTTGAACAAGGTTTATATTGACTCAGTTTAAAAAAAAAAAGAAAAAAAAAAAAGGAAAAAAAAAAGGAAAAAAAAAAAAAGGCAAAAAAGGGTGTGATTGGCATTTTTACAGTCCTGGTGCACCGGTGCTGCGGGAGGGTGTGAGTGAGGAAAGCGTGGCCTGAAGCTTTACTGGGCGAGGGGTGGCTGTGTGAAAGTGCAGAGATCTATTTAGTGACAGTGTAGAGAGAAACAAAAAAAACCACAAAAAAAACACCACAAAAACCAAGAAAAAAAGGAAAAAAAAAAAAAGGCATTGTAAAATTCCAAAATGTATATTTTTTCTTATTAAGCCCCTTGAAATAACAACTCCCCCCCCCCCCCCTCGCCCCTGTTATTAAGA